CACAGGGATCATGCCCCACACCATGGCTACAACCAGAGGATGGTGGGAAGGAAGTTGGTGTGAGTATTCCAGAGGGGACTTTTATCATTTTAAGGCTACAAAGGGGGCTCATTGAGACCTTTGCTTCTTAATAAACTTTGCTCATTCTCACCCTCTCTGCAGCAGAAATGTTACTTTGCCCTAAGAACATCATTATATTATATCATTAGAATGATCCCAGTAGCACTTTACATAGTCATTGCAGAGGACTCACCTGCTGGAAGGTACAGAAAAACCAGAACATATGACAGAAGATCCTCCATCTAGTTTTGTCATGTAGAGATGAGCTGGCCTCCTCTTCTCCTGTGATTGATAAACCTATTGCAGGTCTATGAAACGAGGTCTACGGGGGCTAGTTGTGAGTCCGGAGATCTTGCGTTGTGTACAAAGGCTTTCAACAAACATCTGAGATGACAATGCACCAAACCTCAGTTGCAGGTTAAATACTGTATCTGGGTCATTTCCATGCCAGTTCTCAGTTCTGAGAGCTCAGACCAATGAGCAGACCACATAGACATGGCACCCGTATAGAGAAGAAAGGAAATGATCAGCTTTGAGGTTAATGCTAACAATCTAGAATCTTCAGAACTGCGCTCTACGCTGGCAAGGTATGCCTACTATCAGATCAAGATGTAATCTCTGTCATCACTGTGCCCACATATTGTTTCCTGTGATGGGAACTGCTAATACTGTTAATAGCATACAAAGACATTGTAGGCAATTGTGTACTTGCAGCCTTGTGGTCACAGTTTGATGAAGACCCTTTTCTGTTCCTCCATGACTGTCCCCTGTGTACAAAGCCAGCTCCATACAGACATGGTGTGACCAGCTTGGTGTAGAGGAACTCGACTGGCCTCAACCCTGAACACCTTTGGGATGAATTGGAACATCAATTGTGAGCTGGGTCTTCTATTCTAACATCAGTACCTGACCTCACAAATGGGCCCATATTCCCCCAGACAGCCTCCAAAATCTTGTGCACGCCTTCTCAGAAGAGTGCAGGATGATACAGCCACAAAGGGGTCAGCTCCATATTAATGGCCATGGTTGTGGAATGGGATGACCAGCAAGCTCATATAGGTGTGATGGGGAAGTGGTCACACATTTGGACATATAATGTGCATATCCTGGTTTTGGGGAAGGTATAACCGTACTAAAAATGTAACATATATATTATATCATTAGAATGATCCCAGTAGCACTTTACATAGTCATTGCAGAGGACTCACCTGCTGGAAGGTACAGAAAAACCAGAACATATGACAGAAGATCCTCCATCTAGTTTTGTCATGTAGAGATGAGCTGGCCTCCTCTTCTCCTGTGATTGATAAACCTATTGCAGGTCTATGAAACGAGGTCTACGGGGGCTAGTTGTGAGTCCGGAGATCTTGCGTTGTGTACAAAGGCTTTCAACAAACATCTGAGATGACAATGCACCAAACCTCAGTTGCAGGTTAAATACTGTATCTGGGTCATTTCCATGCCAGTTCTCAGTTCTGAGAGCTCAGACCAATGAGCAGACCACATAGACATGGCACCCGTATAGAGAAGAAAGGAAATGATCAGCTTTGAGGTTAATGCTAACAATCTAGAATCTTCAGAACTGCGCTCTACGCTGGCAAGGTATGCCTACTATCAGATCAAGATGTAATCTCTGTCATCACTGTGCCCACATATTGTTTCCTGTGATGGGAACTGCTAATACTGTTAATAGCATACAAAGACATTGTAGGCAATTGTGTACTTGCAGCCTTGTGGTCACAGTTTGATGAAGACCCTTTTCTGTTCCTCCATGACTGTCCCCTGTGTACAAAGCCAGCTCCATACAGACATGGTGTGACCAGCTTGGTGTAGAGGAACTCGACTGGCCTCAACCCTGAACACCTTTGGGATGAATTGGAACATCAATTGTGAGCTGGGTCTTCTATTCTAACATCAGTACCTGACCTCACAAATGGGCCCATATTCCCCCAGACAGCCTCCAAAATCTTGTGCACGCCTTCTCAGAAGAGTGCAGGATGATACAGCCACAAAGGGGTCAGCTCCATATTAATGGCCATGGTTGTGGAATGGGATGACCAGCAAGCTCATATAGGTGTGATGGGGAAGTGGTCACACATTTGGACATATAATGTGCATATCCTGGTTTTGGGGAAGGTATAACCGTACTAAAAATGTAACATTCAGAATAATAAAACTTCTATTGCAAATGAATCAAATTGCCTCCTTAAAATATTGAAAGCTCTTACATTCATGGAACTTTGAGAACAGGCCTTCCCCAGACTGTTGCCCCAACATTGGGAGAGCACAATGGTCTAAAATGTGTTTGTTTGATGAAGGATTAACTGTTCCCTTCACTGGAAACCCCGGGACTCCATCATTTGTGGGGGGTGGTCAGGGCCCCGAGGATGAGGAGTGGTGGATGGAAGTAGGCTCTGATATGTTTACCTGACTATGTCACCAATGTAATGGTCCCCAGAGCCTGTTGGTGACCATTGCCAGTTCTGTTACTTCTTTTTTTTTTTTAAATCTTTTTATTCATTTTGCAAGTTTAGTTATACAACATGACACCAACATGGTGCCTAGACATCAACACTTAACAATACATTTCGGCATAAAATATGCCCATTCCTACATAAAACCCCCACCCCCCATCAACTCCCGTCAAAACAAAAGTTGCACAATCAGGAAGCCCATTATCAACATGTATCAATTTCCCATCTCCTGCGCCTGGAACTGTGCTGAAACCGTTATGAGGTGACCTCTGTACTCTCTCCCCGCCCCTGCTGGGGTGCATTCCCGTGTAAAGTATGAAGTAGAGGTAAGACCGTCACAGGTACCATTCTATCAGCAATCTATCCCTAAAGTGGGTGGTCACACCCCTAGTGTATTACCCAGGCTATGCTACGTCCAGCCATGACTAATGAATGAGGAAGCCGACTATTCCCATAGTTCTTATATGGAGAAGAAGAGAAACAAGAGAGACATATCCCGGGATCGAGCGGCAATGTGTAGCCAGAGATTATAAATAGACATGACTAGAGACCAACATGGCGGAATGATTGGGCACAACCCCCACACGTAAGTGATAGATCCTCCATGAAGCTTCCGGCAAGCAGATATAAGATTAGATGAGGAGAATGTTGCGGCTGTACATACAGGTTGTGGACCCTCATATGGGATCAGCGTTTTGGTTCAGAGGGAGTCTCGGGGCTTTCCCACACGTTGTCGTAGTTTCTGGGCCTCCTGACTTCCTGTTATCACTTCCCAGAGTATAAGGATGATGATCAGTAATAACACCAGTCCAGACAACGCCAATCGTATAATATTAGAAATTGTCAAATCCACAGAATTTCCACCTGAAAGAGACAAAGAAAATCCCCATTATAACATTTCAATGTATGGTGCGTGTGTGTCACTTACCTGGGGAGGAGATGGCACCCGGATGTACTATGGGAAGAAGACAAGATGGCGGAGGCAGTGTGATGGGCAATGTTCTGCTGGGACACCTCGCCATTCATGTGGATGTCACTCTGACACGTACCACCGACCTAAACATTGTCCCTGACCAAGTCCCCCCCTTCATGGAGACGGTTTTCCCTGATGGCAGTGGCCTCTCTCAGCAGGATAATGAGCCCTGCCACACGGCACACATGGATGAAGAATGGTTTGCGGAAGAACAACGAGTTTGAGGTAATGACTCCGCCTCCAAATTCTCCAGATCCAAAACCAATCAATCATCTGTGGGATGTGCTGGAGAAACAAGTCCGATCCATGGAGGCCGATCACCTCACATCTTACAGGACTTATAGGATCTGCAACTGACGGCTCGGTGCCAGATACCACAGCACACCTTCAGAGGTCTAGTGGAGTTCATGCCTGGACGGGTCAGGAGAAGGGAGACCTACTCAATGTTTGGAGGTCATGCAGATACCACAGCATACCTTCAGAGGTCTAGTGGAGTCCATGCCTGGACGGGTCAGGAGAAGGGGGACCTACTAAATATTAGGGGGGTCATCCAGATACCACAGCATACCTTCAGAGGTCTAGTGGAGTTCATGCCTGGACGGGTCAGGAGAAGGGAGACCTACTCAATATTACTGGGTCATCCAGATACCACAGCATACCTTCAGAGGTCTAGTGGAGTCCATGCCTGGACAGGTCAGGAGAAGCGGGAGAGATATATGTAGATATTATTTAAATCTTTTGGTTTATAAATGAGTATAGGAACATTTAATGAAACTGATTCTTCTTTAGACTATCTCTGATCTTTGATTTATAATTTGGGAGGAGGGGGAGGGGAGTCACTACTATTTTTAATTTTCATTTGTCAAATTTTCCACTTCAGCTATTGAGCTCCATCAACACTGGACTTTTAAATACACAGGAGACAAGGAGATCCTGGGAAACATGTGAAAGAAAGCCAAGAGCTCCCCCATCTGGCTGCTTAAGAAGATACAAATACGTTTACAATGTGTCACATTCATATTCACATTAGAAGAACTATTATCATAAATTTTACCATCATAAAGAAAATATTAAACTTCTTATGAAAGGTTTTGAACAGAATGTGGACATTTTTGAGCCTTTCTCAGGTTTTTATTCCTATCTGCGTCCTGTTTGGGGGATTTACCCTTTATATTGTCTTCAGTACAGGAAGTGATGGGAAAGCTGAACTGAGAATTGAAGGGAAATCTTCCAATGGGGATTTGATGACAATTGTATAATTGGGGATTTGACTTTGAAGAGGTTTTTTCTTACTTCCTCTCGTGTTTCTGGGATAGGAAGTGAAGGGAAATCTCTCAGAGGGAACACAAAGATGGGACAGCAAATATAAAAGCCTGACAGGGGCATCAACTATTCCTTACTGTGTCCAAATGTAACAACAAAACATATTTCATACACTTTAGCCAAACCTCAGTATGATAACTATAAACACATCATCACCCCCTACTACTTACCTTGTATCTGAATAAAGACCACCGCGCTCTTCTTCACAAGCCTGGCTGAAGATCTCACATCACAGGAATAATTCCCAGAATCCTCCAGCTGAGCGGACCGGACTCCATATTGATTGGAGGAATTGAATTCCTGAACTTTCCGTCCATCTCTGTAGAAAGCAAATTGGAGTTCTATCCCCGGTCTGAGCGGACTGAGACTCGTGTCACATGTCAGGGTCATGGCGTCACCTTCTAGGACTTTAATAGTGCTTACATTCAGCACCGGGGTGGAAAACAGCTCTAAAATCGGTCTGAGCGGACTGAGACTCTTGTCACATGTCAGGGTCGTGTTGTCACCTTCTAAGATGTCAGCAGTGCTTACATTCAGCACCGGGGTGGAAAACAGCTCTAAAAAAGATTAAACTCTTATTTTTTTTGCAGGAATGAGTATTAACATTCTGTAAAATTTTGGTAAAATTATTATTAATTGCTTTTGCTAAAAATATCTAAAATCTTTGGCAAAGTCAGAATCAGTTTTAGAGTCATTTAGGGCATAACATCTCTTTTTTAACCCTAAAATGTTGCTGCTCATCCCTATAATTCTCTAGAAGCTTCCCCAGCATCTGCAGGACAGAATTGTACGGGTTGAGTGACGTCTATAACTCTGCACAGGACGTCTTGTATCCTGAGGCTGGCGGTATCATTGTGATCTGTTCAGGAATAAATCATATTCACCTTTTATCACAATCGGGAGGAAGTGACTACTTTTCCTCACTTTGCCATCCGAAGTTCTCACGTCACAGGAATAATTCCCAGAATCCTCCAGCTGAGCGGACTGGACTCCATAGTGATTGGAGGAACCGAATTCCTGAACATTCCGTCCATCTCTGTAGAAAGCAAATTGGAGTTGTGTCCCCGGTCTGAGCGGACTGAGACTCGTGTCACATGTCAGGGTCATGTGATCACCTTCTACCTCCGGATATTGGATTCCGATGATTGTTGGTCTCTCTGCAGAGAAGGAAATTCAGGGAGGAACATATATGATATTCTTCTCCAGTTAAATCAGAGCAACAAATACAAATATATTCTTCTGTGAGGCTGGAAAACCTATTGGAAAGTTCTGTGTGAGCCAGCGGTGAACCATTCCTTCAATGATATCAAAGGAAACATTGGTGACATCAACATAAAATATTATCACAATCCGGAGTCATCCAGAAGATTTAGTAGAATCCCGGCACTTCAAGGACGAGCAGATGTGTCACCATCTATCATTCTGTATGACACATTTTCTAGTCTTCCGGGTTTGCTGGTTTCACCGGGTTCATACAATGTGATTTTTCTCAGATCAGTGTACGTTGGTGCCGTAATCTCAGTGCTACAAGGTTTTGGGGAGGGATCAGCATGCTATTGATGTAGATTCCCAACAAAGGTGGAGATGCACACAGTGCAATAGGGTTCATGTGTAGTATGTCTTTTTGATAGGTCAGCATTAGGCTTCAGGATTCAGGGGTGCTAAGTAGTAATGGGAAAGCTCAGTGTAAGGTTCAGGTGAAGTGTTAGGGGTGGAGGGTTAAGAGTTAAAGAGACTTTCTCACCAGACCATTCATATCAACAACAATCAACCCAAAGGAGTATATGGGCATATAACGTATTTGAGGTATGGTACTTAAAAGCCTCCCTTGTGTAGATATCCAAAATGCCCAAACTGCTGATGGGTGCCTATGAAACGAGGTACCTGACCCTCTAGTGCCTCCAGTTCTCCGGTCCCAGGGGCCTAAGAGTTTTGCAGGGGTGGTGAGTTGAAGCTCCAAACTTTCCCCACTAGTTCCCGACACGTTCACATAGGTCAACCATTCTGAGCTCAGCTTTAGACAGGGAATACCTTACATACACAGGAGTCCTCCACAATATCCCTGGTTCCAGGTCCACCGTCCTACTCTCCGGCACATGACTTTCACTTTCCTGCCTCAAACTGGCTGCTCTTTAAATGTGAGATTGAAGATGGTCAGACCAGACTTTGCTCAAACTTGTGTTTACTATGGATGAGCTTAGGTTGGGACTGAACCAGGCCCAAACTTGAGCTTGCCCAAGCACAGAAGGAAGCTGCCACCACCCAATCAGCTGCGGCCAGGGAATGAAGTGACATCATTGACCTTATATGGCCACATGGATATATTCAGTCAAGGACAATGACCTAATACAGCCATCTGGTCATATAAGATCAATAATGTCAGCACAAGCATCACACTCCTTTATTTATGAGCAGTTGTGAGTCGGGAAATGATCTAGCCCACGGATGACGGGGCAGGAGGCCCATAGACTTTTTGTGTACAGAGTAAATGGGCCAACCCTCGAAATGCTACGGAGTTCACCCTAGTCTGTACTTAGTGGATAAGTATAGAAAAAGTTAAACATCAGTGAATTAATCTTCTTCTGTTGGGTCCATGTAAGACTTGCGTCCACAGGAGGGAATACTCTCTCACAGAACGTCCAGCTACACCGTATAACCCACTAAGGTAGAAGAACAGCAACGTCACCCCGGAGGGGAACATCGGATAACCACGTGGCTACATCTTGCCAGTTGTGGTCCGGTCCTTCCCGCAAGGGCCATCAGTGGATCTTCACTCTGTGATCTCTGCTTGCTGCCCTTCTTCCAACTGCCCCTCCTCCTCCTACCCCTCTTATGTATATACTATTGCTGGAGAGGAGACATTGACAACAATATTATAGAATGAAGGGTCTATGTTGTAGATGGTGAAGTGTTTTAGAATAGGGAATATGTTCTCAGTTAGCAGAACACTGGAAGTCATGACTTTGTTTGGAGTTAGAGGACGGCTCGGGGAATTATTATGGAATGTTGACCCTCAGACACCCGAGTCTTCTGATTTGGGTTTATATAACTTTCCTCCATCCCTCGGTTGGTCCCGTGATTGACTCACCATTTATCTGGATCTTTATCTCCTGACTCCTCTTCTGTACACTGTTGGTTGTCACTTCACATGAATATTTCCCAGAGTCCTTCACCTGAGCGGACTGAACTCCATATCGGTTAGATGAAGAGAATTCTCCAACATTCCGTCCATCTCTATAGAAAGCAAATTTCAGTTCTGTCCTCGGTCTGAGCGGACTGAGACTCGTGTCACATGTCAGGGTCATGTGATCTCCTTCTACCACTGGAATTGGGGTCATTATTATCTCTGGAACTGCAAATAGCTCTAAAAAGTGATCACAAACACAAACTGTATCATTCATTTTATCTTCTGTATTGTTGGACATTACGGAGTAAGTCACATGATCGTCTCCTAGAGAAATGCCGTGACGTTATCGCCTTCTCATCTACTGCCCGGGACACGCACACCATTCACAGTGATAATGTGGAACCGATACACCACCAACAAAGTGTAAGAGGGATGATGGAGCCCCGGGACCTGGATAGGAAACCTGGGACACCTTCACCAGGCTCCAGAGCCCAGCCATGTCTATGGGTCCTGCACTTTACACATTACCTGGATTATGAAATAAATCATCAGAATTCACTAAGAGAAAAGTGCGGAGCCCATGTCAGCCAATCAGAATTCAGGGACATCCCCCCAACACAATGGGGGCTGCAGGAGAACTATTCATTGCTAAATAGACCCCTTTATCTATAATAAAGCTTAGAGACGTGATCTGCCCCGGACTTACTTTGTACATTGATAACATCTTCATCATTGTAAGTTACAAATTTCATATAAGGCTCAGGCAAAAAAATTTCCTTTATACATTTGTATCTCCCGCTGTTCGTCATGTTTACATTTTCTACATGTAATTCAGATGTTTCTTTCCAGCCTTGAATGACAGAACCGTCCTTGTAGAATGTTGTATATTTTGCAGTGTAGCCGGAACGATGGTGACACCTCAGAGTCAGATCATCTCCTTCATGTACATAGAGAGGAGCCCGCAGGATCAGCGTGCCTGAAACACAGAGAGACGTCACATGAGGAGATGAAGGATAGAGGACAGACATCATGTTACCTCCAGGAACAGCTACATCAGTATAGGTGCAGTATACAGTATAGTAGATGCTTCATGTGCTGATCCTCCGTGACGTCTCCTATCATATATGTCTCATTTATCAATCAGTCTGAATTAAAGGGACTCTGTGACTGGAAGAAATATTTATATCAGAAGAACTCTGTAATAGAAGATGCCTAAAACTTACCATTGTCCATTTTGGTGTTATAAGATGTCCCCACTGAGTACTATGGTCTCACCTGCTGGCTGTCTGCTATTGAGTTCAGCTTTCAGAATACATCAGCCATACAACATGGGTGACCCTAATAGAGACAAGCTTTGGCTGCACTAAGAAGTGAATCTGGGAATTCCCTGATATTAGATTTCTTGTATTTTGTCTGGAATGGGAGAAGAAGACATTCAGATGGAACATTATCAATGTGATATAATGAACTGACCACCAACAACATCCAGTCTGGCGTTGTCACTTCTTTCCGTACTGGTCCCGCAGCTGTAGTATCCGCTATGTGCAGTTTCTGCAGATAGAATGGTGAAGGTTTTTCCTGTATGGTCCCATTTACCATCTTTGTACCAGGTGTAGGTCAGATCTCCTCCTCCAGTAGACCCAACATCACACGTCATTGTTATAGACTCTCCTATGAGGATCTTCTTCCAGTTTGGGGTGAAGGTCACCACCGGGCTCACTGCCGATCCTGAAGAGGGATAAAGAAGAATTCTGACTTATGTCATGTTCATTTCCAGCAATGTAATGTTTTAGGAGAGTCTAATATCAGATACAATACAAGGATCTCATGTTTAAAGGCCAACTAAACTTTCAATTCAATTCCAGTGGACTTGTTCAGCTAAATTCATCTCAGGTCCATCAGAACAAAAAGAGTGCAAAGTCCTACAGTTTGTTTTCTTTAGAAAGCAGCTACACCTGGAGTAGAAAAGCCTGCTGCAGAGCAGGACCTTTACTCTCTGTGTGGAAGCAGTGGTTTCTCCTCAGAAGTACAACATGTCCCCTTCTGACTCAGAGCTAGAGCTCTCCAATCAGCAGGGAGAATGAGCTCTTTTGACTAGCAGGGGGATTGTCAGACCTCTACAGAGAGAACACTGCTTCCACACAGAGAGCAAAGGTCCTTCCCTGCAGCTGTCAGGATGCCGGGGGCGTCACCTCCCCACGGGGTCAGAGGGTACGGCGTAGTATGAGGCCTCCCTTCGGCCTGGCAGGACCACGGGAGCTCCAACGGCAACTGTGCTTGCGCGAGTCTCGTGGCGGGCGTGCGCGCAGTACACAGCCTGCGTGCGCACCCCGGGAACACAAGCATAGCACGCATGCGCCTGTTTGGGCCTCAGGTGTGGGCCTTGCCGGGGGAGGTTCCCCAGCCCACACATACCGCCTCTTGCCTGTCATTGGCTCTCGGGGAGGGAAGCCTCTGGGTTGCCTCGGTGACCAAGGGCGGACTCGCACCGCCTGGCTATAAAAACCTGGCCAGAGCTCTGGCTCATTGCTGAGTTATTCCACCTCATGGTGTGACATACGAAGCTCCCCTCCTATGTGCCTTGCTGCCAGTTTCCTGAACCCTCTGCTGACTTCCCGTGTACCGACCTTGGACCGACTATCGCCTCTGACCCTTTGCTGCCTGCCTCGACCTCGGATTGCCTTTGACTACCCCTTTGGATTGCCCCTTGTTACCTTTGCCTTCTGACTTTTCAGGCTGCTTCCTGCCAGCTGGTTCCCTCTGTGCTATTTGCCTGTGGACACACCTGACAGCAGCATGCAGAAGGGACAGGTTATCCTAAAAGGGCCTTCAGCATCGCTGTTGCACTTTATTGGTGGTGTTCCAGTTGGCATTATGAGATGCTCCAAAGCTAGAAAAGTGACTTATGGCCAACAAAATGACATAGTGCTGGGTGTGAAACATTAGAGACGAGAGACTAATGGAAAATCCTCTGTGCTAGGGGAATAGAGGACCCAATTGGTATAATACCTGAACCTGAAAATTGTAGTCCTAGAGGACTGCTTACCCGTTCCCTATATTGCAGAGTAGGGGACCCCCCACTAACAGGAAGCCCCCACACTATGGAAGAAGAATCTCTAGCCCCTTGGAGGTCAGACAATCCAATAGGGACATAGAATATTTCCATATAAGGAGCTTTCCTCTAGTATAACATTCCCTTATAAGGACAATGTGTAACAACGCGGCGGTTGAGTGTATGGATCTCAACTGCGGAGGTAAGTAGTATGCTTGGGAGGTTGGAGTCTGTCTCTTTGTCAGTGAACAATTCCTGGGACACACACTCCACATAGTTCAAAAGGAGGGTAAGGAATTGTAGAACATCATGCACCGTCTTTTGTAGAATGAGGTGTAAGTATCGTACTTCCCCAGGGCTTATTACCTCATACCCCCAATGTGCAAATACACTGACCGTTAACTAATTAATACAATTAATGAAAGTTAAACAAACATAAAGGAACTCGATTAGTCACAAGGTAAGTATTGGTCATGCACAGCAATTGTACGTACACCCGATTCGGGTATTGTTCACATGAGACTTGTAGTTCACCCAGCATACAAACGAGCAACATGCTGTGAGATTAGGCAGAGTAGCAATGGAACAGTCAGTAGTGATTTGGTCACACACCGCAGCGTGGGTAACACAGAAATCGTTAGAGGTTTCTTGCGATTCAGCTGAGATTGGGCAGCAGAGTCTCCACTTGGCAGTTGGTAGCAATAGAATGGGAAGATTCCTTAGGCAGCATGGAGGATCCGTGGGATGAGAAATGGCCGTGACTCTCACAGTGTTCCAGGCTGTGAGGTCGGGGCAATTCAGCAGAGGACGAATGCTCAGCATTCACAGAGCATTAGTAGAACGCTGAGCATTCGTATGCACTGCGTCTTTAAGCTGACGTGCGGGGGGAGGAGCCGCACGACGCATCCAGCGTGTGCGGCCAAGGAGAGTGGCGCTGGAGCGAGCGGAGGTGAGTCTGTTACACAATGATGTCACCCAGCAACGTCACTACAATTCTGGCGGC